AATAGATTAGCACAATGCCCAAATAACCACATTAACACTAGTCAAGACAAGTAACTTAAAGGGATTAGAGTTTCGAGGGCCGCCAGCGAGGTATGCATTTCATTGATGGGTTTAGTGGGTGATGATTTTGCATGTATTAAATGAGGGGGGGGGGTTTGGTATTAAAAGGAAAGAAGAGAAAGTGAAGCAATTATAGTTCCCGAAGTACTGATCCTTTTTAATATACAGTATTTCTTGAATAGCATTATACAAAACAAAGGTGACTGACTGACTAACTAACTGACTACCAGTATTATATCCAGCAATCTCTCCAAATTAGCGATCAGTATTCTTATTCTACTTCTACTTCTTCATCCTTCTCCCAGCCTTTCTTTCCTCTCTCTTTCCTCTTTCCTCTTTCCTCTTTCCCTTCCCGTAAGATAGGAGAAGAAGAAGAGGGGTTCGCTAACACTTGTTTACTTGTTTACTTACTTTCTTACTTACTTACTTGCTATCAGGAACCGTATACTCGTAGAAACCAAAGACTCGAAGGAACAATTAAAAATTTCTTTTCTTTTCTTTCTTTTACAAAAAGGTGTGAGAGTAATTAATTAGTAAAAAGAAAATATAAAAATTGAGATTAGATTGGATTAGGAGTGGGAGAATGAATATATTAGAATTCCTATTATTAGTATACTCGTACTTGAAAAATCGAAAATCGTTTAAATATACAAGCATTTTTTTATTATAATTTCTGTACTAGTAAGTGTATTTTTTCTACTCGAGTAATATAATCAATCATCTACTTCAAGTACTATGTAGTATAACGATTCAGGATTCTATATACTCGAGTATAATAGGAACACTGATCTCTTATTATCTCATAAGTCTTTACCGATTTGATACTCGAGTATTAACATTGATATTATACACACACACAACCTCAAAATATCATCTCATACAATACCACACCACATCATATCACAACACGCATTCAATTCCACTTCATTTCATTTCCATGCAATCCGTTCATCCATCCCATTCAGTCACTTCCATTTATTCAGTTCATTCATTTAATTCATTCAATTTCTACACCACAAACTACTTACCTCCCACCCCCTCCCCC